ATATATATATATCTTCACTGGGATTTCATCAAAGCAGCACCATTCTTTCTGTTAATACCGATGGATTAATTTTTTTCTTTCTTTCTCCCTTCCTTTCACCTTCCTTTCCCCTCCCTCTTTTCTTTTCTTCTCTTTTCTTTTCTTTTTTCTTTTCTTTTCTGTGTTTGTTAAAACGCAGACGTGAAAACAGAAGAAACCTACAGGAAAGAAACCGACCTACCCAGTTTGTTTCCCCAACAGGAAAGAAACTGACCTATCCAGTCCCACTGGCCTAAGGTGACAACCAGTCCGCTTTTGGCAAGTTGAGGCTGGAGCACAGACTGGATCACAGACACAAACGTGAGACTAAAGACACACAAACTCCTGTTCAAGCCTCAAGTTGACCCACCCAGAAAACAAGCACACGCCTGCTGCACGCCAGCAGCCAAGCCCGGAAAGCTATGCTCTAATCTGTGCGCCCACTGGATTTTCATCAGTTCCCCTTGGTGCTTATGTGGACCAAGCAAGGGAGGTGAGCGGCCATAACAATGCCCCGAGTCTGGGTTAGCAGGTGCCAGGACGCCTCTCGGCAGGGATAGGAGCAGGTGGACCCCAGAGTGGAGCCCACGTCACAGGTATATACAAGGGGAAAAGGGATTACTTGAGGCAGGTCCTCCACCGCTGCTGAGGGTGGAGGCAAAATGTTGAAACACCCACCATGGCCGGGGTCTCCCAAGGCATGGTGGGGGCAGCAAACCCTCCCCAGGCTGCAGTCCTGCGTGAGGACGGCTGTGGAACCCAGCACAGAGCACGAATGTGCCATGAGCCCAGGCCATTGCAGGGAGGCAGAGAAGCACACAGCGCATCCTACAGGGAATTCTCCTGCCACTATTAGAACGTGATCGCCATGTGTGCAGTAGGGAGAGGGGTAATGCTCGTTGCCTGCCCCCCAGAGCTCACCCTGTTCCTAGGGGGACAGACGCTCCCCTAGGCCCCCTGTCCTGAATTCTCTCTAGGAACTCGGGGATTTCTCTGGGTAGAAAGTCCTTGCTTGAGGCAAAACATCTCATCGTGCCTTCGTTTACATTTTGGATGAACATTTTGTTAAAGCCAGAGCACCCTGACATGAGAGCAAGAGGATGGACGGCAGAAGGGACCAACATCACGGGGAAGCTGGGCATGCTACAGACCCCAGTGCCTGCCTGGCAGAGCCACTCCTCCAATCAATGTCTGAACAGTGGGGCCGGGAAGAAATGGCGCTTGAACAGCTGCTACCATTTTTTTCTTTTTTGGATGAGTTGGAAATCCCATCAAGAACAAGCCACTTGGCCAGGTGTGGCGGTTCACACCTGTAATCCCAGCACTTTGGGAGGCCAAGGCAGGCTCATCACTTGAGATCAGGAATTAGAGACCAGCCTGGTCACTTGGTGAAATCCCATCTCTACTAAAAATACAAAAATTAGTCAGGCATGGTGGCATGTGCCTGTAACTGTAATACCAGCTACTTGGGAGGCTGAGGCTGCAATGAGCCGAGATTGTGCCACTGCACTCCAGCTTGTGTGACACAGCGAAACTCCAGCTCGAAAAAAAAAGGAACAAGCCACTGAGCGAACATAAGGAAAAGATACAACAAAAATAAATTCCTCATGAACAGGTGCACGCCGCCTGCCTGGCAATGGAGGCCCCATGCACAGTGCCCTCCTGGGACTGGCTGAGTCGCTCAGGTCGCCTTCCAGCTGTGTGACTGGAGGGGTCTACACGGCTCAGGGCAGGGCTGGGAGACAGCCCTCCCTGGGGACCCCTGAGAAACCGGTTCCAGGAGAGTATGATCAGTGCTGGGGGAACCTCAAGCAGGAGGCTCACGTAGGCCCAGCCAGCTCCTGCCTCCTATGCATCCCCAGTGAGGAGCGGCACCTGTTGTTGGTGTCCGCGTCTCTTACCTGGGTTGAGGACTGGCTGGACGATGTCCCCGTTCCTCCACTTGGTCTCCATGCGCTCCAGCTTCTGGGCTTCATACCGCTTCCGGCCCTCCTCCTCCTGCTCCTGCCGAGAATACTGTGGGAAACCACAGACAGGTCAGGCCCAGGCGGGACACGGCCTCCTCCCCTCTACAGGCAGCCACGACCCCAGGCCCCTTATGTCACATAACCTTGTATAACTGGGACTATCTTTCTTTCTGTTTGTGTGTGCTTAACATAAGTAATAAGAATACAGAAAGAGTGAAATCCCACGTGGCTCCACTCCCCAGAGAACCTGGGTCAAATGTTTGGTTTAGATCCTTCCGGGAATTGCTTTTATGCCTACAAATATATACAAAGCTCTGTGGTGCTGTATATGGAGCTTAAAAGCAACTGTGTATCTATTTAACGTAATTTTTGTGACTATGTGGGCACTTAGCTTGTTTCCAATTTTTCTTTTCTTTTTTCTTTTCTTTTTTTTTTTTTTGAGATGGATTCTTGCTCTGTCCCAGGTTGAAGTGCAGTGGTGCGATCTCAGCTCACTGCAACCTCTGCCTCCTGGGTTCAAGTGATTCTCCTGCCTCAGCCTCCCCAGTAGCTGGGACTACAGGCGCCTGCCACCACACTCAGCGAATTTTTGTATTTTTAGCAGAGACGGGGTTTCACCATGTTGGCCAGGCTGATCTCTTGACCTTGTGATCCACCTGCCTCAGCCACCCAACGTGTTGGGATTACAGGCGTGAGCCACCGCACCCACTATTAAAACCATACTGATTCTAGGTTACCTAAAATCATTTTGCACTGTCCCATTCCTCTCTAGGATTCATTCCAGAATAAAGGGATCCTCAAAAAGGCCCCACCTACTCTCCCAGGGCCATGACAGAGCAGGAGCTGTGTGTGTCCCTGCTGACCCTTGGCCAATCGAACAGGCTGTATATTAGTAGAGAACAGGCAGTCAAAGATGGAACCATCCCCCCGAGGCTCTCTGAATGGATCATAGGGGTTTTTGACCCCGGAAGTTAAAAATAAATGTGAATATAAGACTCAGCACAGGCCGGGCATGGTGGCTCGCGCCTGTAATCCCAGCAATTTGGGAGGCTGAGGCGGGTGGATCACTTGAGGTCAGGAGTTCGAGACTCCTGGCCACATGGTGAAACCCTGTCTCTACTAAAAATACCAAAATTAGCCAGGTATGGTGGTGGGCACATGTAGTCTTAGCTACTCGGGAGGCTGAGGCAAGGGAATCGCTTGAACCCGGGAGGTGGAGGTTGCAGTCAGCCAAGATCGCGCCACTGCACTCCAGCCTGGGCGACAGAGCGAGACTCCATCTAAAAAGATAAAATAAAATAAAAAACGCCAACTCTTAGCACAAAAACCAAAGCTCCTGAGTCCCAGGACACAACAGGGGATATTGCATTTCTTGGACATAACAGACAGTTCACTCACTGCCCTCCTGTGCACAGTGGAGGGGACGCACTACACTCCCTCCCCATGGGACCTCAGAGGGGCCCTCAGGGCCTGTGTGCTGGCCCCAGGCCGGTTCCAGACCCTCTGCCTGCTCCATCCCCCAGGACCTTCTCCCTCCCTGACAGCCTGGCTAGGGGCCAACTACCACCTGGCTGTTCTGATTAACCTCAACTTCTGCTCTCACCGTTCACTCACCCAACCATTCCAGCTGAGCCTGTGGGGAAGCCACAGAACCCAGGGCCCCTCTGGGCCCCTCCCGGCCGCCTGTTGAAGCCCCTCTGACCTAAGCAAGTTCACTTCAGATGGCTGTGTTAGGCCTTCTTTCGAAAGTCAGTTTTAAACATCTCGATAATTCCTGCTCATGGCTCAGCTCCAAAACTGTGCAGGGCCTGAGCACCATTCACCATTCCTCGGCTTAATTATCCATCATCTTCAGTTGAGAACCCATCTTCAAAAGAGGCTGGGAAGGGAGCTGAAGGGTTTGTTCAAAAGAAGCAAACCGTGGGGAGTGTTTTAAGTTGCAGTGGATAATTCAACCTTTTCCTCCATAAATAAATCACGTCCTAATGTTCCACCAGCGAAGTCATGACTGTGAGAGGAGAGTCTGTGCTGTGTGTCTACCTAGCAACATTGGTGGGTGAACTTCAGCATCCTCAAGAAATGCCTTTTAAAGGGAACTTTTTTTAAAGGAGCCACCCCCTGGTCTAATACATCCTTGTGGCATCCAGTACATTTGTCTGGGCTTGGCGGGCACACAGGGAAATGATGGGGCCCGGTCCTGGACACAAGCCACGAGGAGAAGCCAGGCCTACTCCCCAACGCTGCCTTTCCATCTGGGAACAAAACCGCTGGAACATTTTAATGATGGCTGGCACCTAATTCTCACCCCCGAGGGCTCATCAAACCCAACTGATCTGAAGCAGCAGACAGCGTGGCCCAAATGTCTGAGAGACAGGCTGTGAACCTCTTCGCTCAAGCACGTATTCGGACATTTGAAAAAAACCAAAGCATCCACCCCCAACGGCCACTCAGCATGTCCAGGGCTGCGGTTGCCCCTCCGGTCATCCTGGGCCCCTCAGGCCCATCACAGGGACACCGAAGTTCCATGCTCACTGGGAAAGCTGCAGGCAGGCTGGGGAGGAAGGTGGAACAAAGAAAAGATGTCCTGCACTGGACGACTGTGCACACGGCCAGCAGCTGGGTTCCTCCAGGGAGATGCACACATCCAGGAAACCAGAGCGTGTGTGTGTGTGCGCATGCACGTTCAAGATATCTACATGCATACGTATGTGACATCTCTATCTGTATGTGTATACATATTATATATATCTGCATATCTATAGATACAGGGATGTACATTTTCCTAAATCTGGGATGGCTGTAGAAAGGTCCGCAGGAGCATGCTCATGGAATATAAGACAGCCCTCTGGCCAGGCCACCAGCAGATAAGCATATGCTCACCGGAGCCAGGGAAGGAAGCTGCACTTTCCGGGACTCCGAAGCAGGCCTCTGGCTGGGCCCACCAGTGAAAAACAGGAGACCCAGATTCCAAATCAGCGGGAGGTTTGTACTACGTGGGCCTAGCATGTGTTGGGGGGAAGACAGTGCAAATAGCTCTGAGCACCAGCTGCAGCTGAGAACTGTGCAGCCTCTGCCATCTGCAGCTCCGGCTGCCTCGGCTCCGTGGAACGGTTTCAACAGCTCCTTGACAAGGCCAAGTTGATATTTATGTCTCATCAAACCCACTATACAAAGGAAATGAAAAAGCAACCGGGAGCTCCTCCAGGATGTGGGAGGGAGGGAGCTAATTACTGAGCAAGGAGAGGCGAGGCTAAGAGGGGCCACGCTGAAAGCGCCCTGTCCCTGCGGCGAGGGGACGGGAGCCAGGGGAGTCTGAAGCTACCCGTCCCCTCCACTGGCCAAAACCCAACAGCTCTCGGTGCATCGATCCCAAGCAACAAGGCAGCAAAAGCGACTGTGTTCAGGTCCAGACCCGCCCCTCGGTATCACCCGCCTGAGATGTACCATGAGATGCTAAAGCCAGGCATGGGGCCTGGGAGAGATTTCAGAACTGGATAGCATCTGAAAATTAAATCCGTTAAATGCTATGTCTCAATATTTACATGTGATGTAGCTCACTGAACACCAAGGGCTTAGAGAAAAGAATAAACGTGGGGGTGGGTGTGCCTGCAATTCTGCGGACAACAGTCAGGAGCCCCCAACTGACCCCTGCTCCTTAGGTCTTCAACCACCCCGAGTTAGCACTGCCTGAAAATGACCACAACTTCCATCTCAGCCAAGAAGCAGGGAGAGAGGATAACAGCCCCACAAAGAACAAGAGACGGGGGAGGGTGTTGAACCGAGGGCTGCTGCACTGGGTTGAACAGCGTCCCTCAAAATGTATATCCACCTGAAACCTCAAAATGCAAACACTTCCAAAAACCGGGTCTTTGTAGTTGTAAATAGTTAGAATGAGGTCACAGCGGAATGGGATAGGCCCTAAGCCCAGTGACCCGTGCTCTTGTAAGCAGGCCGTGCGAAGATGGAGGCAGAAGCTTCAGGGACGCAGCCTCAGCCAAGGGACGCCTGGAGCCACCCGGCGCTGGAGAGACCAGGAGGGATCCTCACCTGGCCACACCTCTGGACTTCTGGCCTCCAGAACTGTGACAGAATCAACTTCTATTGTTTGAGAGCTACCCAGTCAGTGGCACTTGGTCACAGCAGCCCCAGGACACTGACTCAGGCGGGAGCGTGAGACTTCGGACTCCACACCCTGACCCCGAGCCCCCGCCTGCTGGCCAGATTCTGGCATGCTGCCATCCTGCTCTCATAAAACCAAAGCTGTGGCCGGGCGCGGTGGCTCACGCCTGTAATCCCAGCACTTTGGGAGGCCGAGGCGGGTGGATCACAAGGCCAGGAGATCAAGACCATCCTGGCTAACACAGTGAAACCCCATCGCTACTAGAAATATAAAAAATTAGCCGGGCATGGTGGTGGGTGCCTGTAGTCCCAGCTACCGGGGAGGCTGAGGCAGGAGAATGGCGTGGACCCAGGAGGCAGAGCTTGCAGTGAGCCGAAATTGCACCACTACACTCCAGCCTGGGCGACAGATCGAGACTCTGTCTCAAAAAAAAAAAAAAAACCAAAGTTACAGCCACCAGCCTTCCCTTCCCTTCCCATTAAATGTGGACAGGGTTCCCCTGTCACCAAGATTTAAAAACAACAACAACAACAACAAACCTAGGCCAAACAGCAGCTGGACCCGGCAGCCAGCCACACCCACCTGGGGAGACACCCCACCCAGACCTTCACTGCCCTCTGAGGAGACCCCGGCAGGGTGCCTGGTCAGACACTGAGCTGAGGAGAGAAGAGAGGGCAGGAAGCACGTCTCAGGGAGTACCTCCCCAGTCTCACATGGGCAGCGGAAGCAGGGACTGGGGTCCCATCAGCCCTGGTGACCCGGGGGCCACAGGAAGACAAAGAGCCAGGCCTCCTACAGGCGGGAAGTGGCCTGCTCCCAGCAAACGCTGGGGAGGGGACCAGGGCTTCTAAAGTGGCCTGTGCCTGGCAAACGCTGGGGAGGGGACCAGGGCTTCTAAAGTGGCCTGTGCCTGGCAAACGCTGGGGAGGGGACCAGGGCTTCCAAAGTGGCCTGTGCCTGGCAAACACTGGGGAGGGGACCAGGGCTTCCGGCAGCAGCAGGAACACCCAGCATCTCTGTTGGGTCTGGAAGCAAAAAGAGCAGGCACCAATTCCTGACAATCTGGTTCTCAGTTTTATTATTTCTAAAAATGTATTCTATATATATCTCAGCCGGAGGAAAAGCTCCCCGCCGGGGCCCACACTGCAGAGACTCAGGATCCCGGTTCCTTCCCTCTAAGAAGAGCTCCTCCTGGGGGCTGGGCCTGTGGACTGCAGGGTCAGGCTGCGGGAGGAGCTGGTCACACCTGTCCTTGGACTCGCCAATGAACTTGGGGCACAGGAGAAGGAGGCGAGGGAGTACTTTTAGGGAATGAATTAAATTTCTTTATTCCCAACGTCTCCCCTCCGAGAGTCTGTTCGTGCAGCTTCCACAGGCTTCGCCCACAGGCCCACCCATGGCGGGACTCCTCTGACAACACAATGAACCGGTATTATGCTTCCACCGGGTGCAGTGGCTCACGCCTGTAATCCCGGCACTTTGGGAGGCCAAGGTGGGTGGATCATGAGGTCAGGAGATCAAGACCATCCTGGCTAACATGGTGAAACCCCATCTCTACTACAAAAAAAATTTAAAAATTAGCCAAGCGTGGTGGTGGGTGCCTGTAGTCCAGCTACTCAGGAGGCTGAGGCAGGAGAATGGCGTGAACCCGGGAGGCAGAGCGTGCAGTGAGCTGAGATCTGGCCACTGCACTCCAGCCTGGGCGACAGAGCGAGACTCCATCTCAAAAAAAAAAAAAAAAAGAAAGGTGCTTCCATCACAGCGAAGCCAGAAATGAGAGAAACTCAGAGAAGGAGGCAGATGCCAACAGGGGACAAGGAGGGAGAAAGACCAAAGCTCACACGAGGAGAGCTGTCTCCACGGCCACTGCGTCACAAGCAGAGATCAGAACCAGCTTGCAGGGCCCACGGGGCAGCAGCCGGCCCGGCCCAGGCAGCCTGGTGGTCTTGGCTCCCGAAAGAAGGACACATCACTATCACAATCCTGTCACTGCCTTTTCTCTGCTTAGGGAGTGTGACAAAAAGGTCCCTAGGTTGGAGGGACATTTACGTCCACAGGTTCTGGGCCAGCTTGCGCTCACATTCCCAGCATGAATTAAACATACACCAGAAGATCCCACACAGACATGTCTCCTCCCCACCCGTGTTTCCTCGAAGGCAGGACAGAAACTCCTGTGGAGCCAGGGATGCCCTGCCCAGCCCAGAGGGGACACTGCCTGCTGGTGGACCTGGCACCCTGTGCCCCAACTTTGACCTGTCACTCCCTTGGGACCCTTAGCTGAACGAGCCTTCCACCATCAGGCGAGGTGACCTGATCTTTGCCATCTGCCCCCAAGAGAGAAGTAGAAGGGGCACCTTACCACAACAGGAGGCACCTCGAGGACCTTGTCCACGTTCTTCAGCGACAAGGGCACATACCACAGGGTGGCCTTATTGGTCAGCTTTTTGGCACCTTAAGAGAAGAAAATCACATAAGTGATGCCCAGGAGACGGGGTAGGGGTGTGAGCAGCCAGGCACGTGGCAGATGCTGCTCCGGCCCCCGGTCCCAGCACCCGAAACACCCCGCACTGTGTACTACCTCTCTGGCCCCCAACCCCCAAGGCCCCAAGGTCTTTTCAGCATCCTGGCCGGGGAGTGCTGCCATCATGTGAGTGTGGACAAACAGAACAAGAGACCCCAGAGCCCACGGAGAGAGGCTGCGTGGGGCCCACCCCCATCACAAGGTATGCCCCCTAAAACTGGCTTGAACTCAGGACCCCAGCTCCTCCCAATGCAACCACTCTGGGGCAGTTTTCCCTTTTCTGGGGTGGCTGAAATGACTTCAGACCACGGTTAAGCCTGGATGGTCCGGAGTTGGTCAGCCACAATACCCAACAGAGATCACCAACTGCAGGCAACCTCCTCTTCCTGGTGTTTTGACAGAAAGGCAGCTTGATTACGAAAACACATCAGAGGCTCCCAATGAGCCTCCCAGACACAGGGGAAGGACTGATGGGCTGCAGGCAGATGCCCTTCGCTCTGCCCAGGGAGACAAGGCTGAACCCACTTCACCCACTGGCTCAAGTCTCCACCAGCTGATCGCTGCTGACATCAAACGTCAAAATCAAAAGTGCCTTGCTGGGGAACTTGATGTCCTGACGCTCAGACAAGCAACATCTTCTGCAGATCCCATCCACCTGTCTCAGCACTGCCAAGAACTCCCACCAAACGGGGAAGCCCAGAAAGACACTTGGCCCACACAGACGTACAGGCTGCAGAGGCTCAGGAGGATGTGGAGGCTGTGCCCAGGCAGAGCAGCCCAGGGGAGGGGCAGGGGAGACAGCCAGGGCCCCCACAGCCCAAAGCACAGAGCAGCGGAGCCAGCTCATCAAAGCCCCATTTTTGCCACCCCAGGAACTTCCTTTCCTTCACACCAGACACTCGGGTGTGGTGCCAGCCCATCCAAAGCTCCACCAGAAGCTTCCGGGTGCCAAGAGATGGGCTATAGGCTGCTGACTCCTTGGGGCACTGAAGCCAGCCACAGAGCAAAGTGGGGCTGCAGGACAGGGAGGCCTGTCCGTGCTGAGAAACACAGGCTCATGGCCTGTCGGAGCTAAAGCAGCCTAGAGATCCCTGGTGTACACCCCTCACTTGTACAGAAGGAGCCTGAGGCCCAGAGACATCAAGGGGTTTGTCCAGGGTCACACAGCAACTTGGGGCCATACTCCCATGTCCCAGTCATTTCAGAGAAGTATCTGCAAGGATGCCTTTAAAAAGTGGTTTTGTCAGGAGTGGTAGGTGGCTCACACCTGTAATCCCAGCACTCTGGGAGGCTGAGGCGGGTGGATCACTTGAGCTCAGGAGTTCCAGACCAGCCTTGGCAACATGGCGAAACCCCATCTCTACCAAAAACACAAAAAATTAGCTGGGCATGGTGGTGCGCACCTGTGGTCCCAAACACTGAGATAGGATGAACGCTTGAGCCCAGAAGGCGGAGATTACAGTGAGCCTAGATTGCACCACTGCACTCCAGCCTGGGCGACAGAGCGAGGCCCCGTCTTAAAATAAAAAAATAAATAAAAGTGGCTTCTTCAATGTGGAAGATCCTCACTATAAGGCAGAAGAGGGAACTGCAGGAAATAACAGAGGAAAGGGAGACGGGAGCAGCCCCAGGGCCCTGCCTAAAACCCCCAGAGCAGCTCACTTCCCACCAGTTACCTGAACCTGCCTTCCCAAGGCAAAGTATTTTTCCTCCTGGATAAACACAGCCCCAGGCTCCAAGTCAAGCCCCAGGGGGCCCATTAAGAAAAGGCCCACGCCTGCCCCTCCTCCCCCCACAGAACACACCGTGAGGGCATGGGGCTCCCTGGGCTTGGGAACCACAGGCAAATAATATGGGAAAATATTTCTACCGCACTTTGACTGAGAGTGAATCTGACAACCTGCTTTTGGGAATAAAGATTTCCTGTTGAACTCGGCTAGAGCCAGCCTGACAAGCCGGTTTCCATGACAACTCGAGCGGCCCTCTGGACCTAAATGAACACCATGGAGCAAATGAGGCAAACATGCTAATTGTACTTTCTCCATCATTTGATGAAACCATCAAAAGACAACAGCAGTATTAAAAAATATCTCTCGGCCAGCTGCGGTGGCTCACGCCTGTAATCCCAGCACTTTGGCAGGCCGAGGCAGGCAGATCACGAGCTCAGAATCGAGACGATCCTGGCTAACACGGTGAAGCCCCGTGTCTACTAAAAATACAAAAAAATTAGCCGGGCATGGTGACATGTGCCTGTAATCCCAGCTACTCAGGAGGCTGAGACAGGAGAATCACTTGAACCTGGGAGGCGGAGGTTGTAGTGAGCCGAGATGGCGCCACTGCACCCCAGCCAGGGCGACAGAGCAAGACTCAGTCTCAAAAAAAAAAAAAAACTGTTAAAATCTTAAGAGCTCCCAGCTATTTTTCTGGAGCAATTCGTAGCAATCACATCCCAGTTAGCTTAATATTTTGACAGTTTCTGGGGATAAATAAGCCGCCTCAAAGGCAAGGTTTGCGGGTCGTCTGCCTGGGCCCGTGCTCGCTCAGTGGCCTCATGACAGGCAGCACAGCCCAGGAAGAGGGGACACACAGAACAGGGGACCCCTGCCTCCTGGGGTGGAGACAGCACACGGATGTCACGCACACAGCTTATGACTCAGCCTGTTCCGGGTCAGGGCCCCAGCACGCGTCCTCTGCCTCCACCTGTAATGCCCCTGTCTTTCAGAGGTCACTATCCATTCAGCCAGTGCTCCCCACGTGCCCACTGTGTGCCAGGCGCTGCCCTTGGTGTTGGGGCCTTCATGAGTTCAATTTCCAGGGGACACTTGGGCAGATACAGAGAAGGGCCTCAAGAGAACAATAGAGACTGCAGAGAGAGATGGCAGAGAAGCAGAAGCACAGACAAGGAGATGAGCGAGACAGAGGGGGAGATGAGACCCGCAGTCACAGAGTGAGAACAGCGGGCTCCGGGGCCTGACCAAGACGCGGAGAAAAGCCACAGCCACGGGGCTCCAAGGCCTCCCTGCCCAGCCCCTGCTACAGGGAAAAGGCTGAAGCTGGGAGGAAGAACCTGGGGCACTGCCCAGCCCCACTGGGAAAAGCCGTCATGTGCTGGCAAGCGTCTCCTGCCTTCTCCAAGCCTCACATGCACGACAGGGCAATGCCAGCCCTGATGTCCCCAGGGAGGAAGGGTGGGCATCTCTGTCCCTCCTGAGCCCATCCTTTGGAGGAGGAGAAGGCCGAGGGCTGTGGTGGCCGGGACACAGCGGGGAGGCTGAGAAGCTCCCAGCACCTTGTGGGTGAGCTGAGGTGGGGGCTGCTCTCTCATGCTTGTGCCTGCCTTGGCTCTGCACAGGAGCCTCTCCCGCTCTCCCCACTGTCAGCCCCTAAAGAGCGAGGGATCCCCAGGAACATGTCAGATTGCGTCATCCTCATCAATACCCCATCAGCGAGAATGTCTCAGCACTGACGCCCAGTTCTTCCTGGTCGCCTCTGCTCATTCACTTATTCATTCATTCATTTGCTCATCTATTATCAGTTCCATGTCTATCATGGGCCAGCAGAAGTGGCCAAGAAAGGGAAGTTCATGATCTGGGGAAATCATCAAGTTCAATACCCCTGACCTTTGGCCTGCATCGCTCTGTGCTGTGGGGAGAGCGGGTCCCAACCGTGCTGAAAGCCCGAGAATGCCTTTCGGTCTCCCTGCCTCTCTCCTCATCATCCCAAACTGCTTGGCCAGGTTCGGAGGCTCCTGCCTTTAAGCCCAGCACTTTGGGAGGCCGAGGTGGGTGGATCAACTGAGATCAGGAGTTTCAGACCACCCTGGCCATCGTGGTGAAACCCTGTCTCTACTAAAAATACAAAAATCAGCCAGGTGTGGTGGCTCACGCTGTAGTCCCAGCTACTTAGAAGGCTGAAGCAGGAGAATAGCTTGAACCTAGGAGGCAGGAGAATAGTTTGAACCTGGGAGGCAGAGGTTGCAGTGAACCGAGATCATGCCACTGCACTCCAGACTGGGCAACGGAGCAAGACCCCATCTCAAAAACAACAACAACAACAAACCGCTCATCAGGGATTCCTCTGAGGCTGTGGCCTCTGATGGACCACAAAGGAGGCTTCCATGGCAGAAAATCTGCAAAGCAGATCCATTCCCAGCATTTTTGAAGCCACCAACTCCTGCAATGACAAAGGGCGCTGCTGACAGGGCTCTCACAAGCAGGAGGGTCCTGGGAAGCAGGAGAGCGCGGCGGGCCATCCCTCGTCTCCAGGAAGGGGCCAAGGCTCCATCGCACAGTCAGGAGAAGAGATGCAACCTCACAGGAGATGGCAGGGAACCCCCAAGGCCCCTCAAGTGGGGAACCCACCCAGCCCTGAGCCTCTCCCAAGTCATGGGCACTGCTCCTGATGTGGGAGGTGCCCATACACCCCTTCCTGTGCCACGGCCTGAGACCAGCATCCAGGGTCCCCCTGATGTCAGAGGTGCCTGCCGAGGGAGCAACAGGCAGTGGGAATGCAGACCACCTTCCACTCCAGGCCCTTGCTCAGCTCAATCTGCCGACCTGCCGGAGCTGGGCTGACACAGCCATTCTAATCACCAACCCTGCTGAGGTCCTCAGAATGTTCTAGATGCATAACTGTGTTTGCTACCGGTCTGTCATGGGGAAGAGGACTCGAGCTCCTTAAATGGCTATGAACTGGCACTCCACAGGGCAGCCACTGCTGAGGAACAGGCATTGGGAAGAGGAGGAAACCAGCCCAGCCTCTCCTCTGCATGGGAGGACTGGTGACCCAGGAGGTGGCAGGGAGAGGGCCAGGGGCAGGGGAAGAGGCCTGCCTTCCCCCTCACCTCCCGTCCCCAGCCTGGGTATAAAAAGAAGCATGAGCTGGTGAACACTGGAGCCGCCCTCTCCTGCAGCGCCCAGTGGGAAGCGGAAGGGGGTTTCCATGGTTACCATGGCCGAGGAGGAGAACATTCAGATGAAAGCAGAGGCAAAGGTTCACCCAGTGAGCTTCTATCTGAGCCTGGTTTCGGGGCCCCCAGGAGCGGGCAGTGTCCTCTCTGGAGCCAACACCTCCCTATGCTTAAGGAGGGCAAGCAGGGCAGGGAGCCCCGCAGAGGGGTGGATGGTGTGCCCCGGCCTCACAGCCCCCACCCAGTCCCTGCCATGGATGAGCTGGCCACAGCAGCAGGACGGGCAGCGGTGATATGCTCAGGCCAGACCCGGACAGCAGGGTTGAGTCCTGCTCTGGGTAACTGAACTCGGGCTCGTATCTTAACTCCTCTGTGCCTGTTTCCTGTCTGCAAAATCAGGGCAATGGACACAGCTGCTCCCAGGGCCGTGGTGGGAGGTGAGGGAGGTCTCATTGATGGAAAAGGGGCCAGACCCTGGAGCGTCCTCTGCCCTCAGGAGGGAAGCAGCTGTATAGCCACGGCCCTTAGTGCTCCAGTCGCCACGTCGCTTCCAGAAGTACCTGTGAGGATGTTTTCGGACATCACGTTGACCTGCACCTCCACAGAGTGCTTGGAGGTGTAGGTGATCTCCGCGCTGACGTGCGCCACCTCACCGATGCACATGGGAGACAGGAAGTCAGTGCGCTCGACACGAGCCAGCGCGGCTACACAGCGCTCCTGTGGAGACAGAGGCAGTGGTCAGTCCAGGTCAGCCAGCCCAGCCCCGAGAGCCCCACCCTGGACACGCTCCCTGGAAACTGCCTTTGCTTTCATTCCCCACTGTGAAAGCAACCAATTTATCACAATTTATTGGCACTGTGCATTCCTTTTCTTTTTTTTTTTTTTTTTT